TCATTCAAAGAGCACCGCCATGTAGGTAGGTCATCCTGGGAGCATCGGGGACGTGGGGAGCTGGACACCCTCGCTCAGAGGGATCCTATCCTTCCAGTTGAGGGGCCTGGGGACACACCTGTCGGGGATACACCTGTTGCTGCCAATCACTCTCTGTACTGAAAAGAGCATGGGGCTTTAGGGCCAGAACTTATTTTAAAGTCTAGTTCTGTCATTTCTTGAGTAATCTTGGCTAACTTACTTAATCTTTCTGATCTTCGATGACTCTTGGGAAGCAGAGTAGTTGAGTGGAAAAAGCAGAGTCTTTGAAGTTTGAATTCTGGCTCTGCCGCTTGCTTGTGAGATCCTAGGCAAGTAGCTTACTCTTGGGATCTTGGTGTCTACGTCTCAAAGAATTTGGGGGCCATGTTTTACAACTGCTAAGGAAGAGACGATCTTGGCTACGAATAGAGCAATAGCAGCGAAGATGGAGGGAGAAGATAGATTCAGGAGGCATTCAGGAGTCAAGCCAAGAAACTTGCTGTTGAATCAGGTGCTGGGGAAAGGGGATGATATAAAGAGATGAATCATGAATGACTCCTAGGTTTTAGGCATGAGCACTTGGGTAGAAGGTAGTGCCGTTTATGAGCTGGAGAGGGAGTTAACTAACCCTGGTTTTATTTCATTCAGGGTTAAAAGCCTTCATTCATGAAGGGTTAAAAATGATGTTTTTGATCAATACACACAGACTCTCTGCTTAAAATGTACAATTTTTGATTTAATATTTAAAATGGCCCTGTAAAGTAGATATTTTTATGCTTACTTTTGAGACAGAGACAGAGACATAAGAGATGATATTGCATTTAGGAAACAAGAACATGATGCTATACAAAAAGAGAATATTCAGAGAACAAAATAAACTTTTAGAAACTAAAATCATGGTAGCAGAATGAAAAACAGAATAGAAAGGTTAGAAGATAAGGCTGAGCGAATTTCTCAGATAGCATACTGAAAAGACAGGGCAAATGCAAAGTAGAAAAGAAGAAATCTATAAAGAGTTTCGATCTAGGACATTCAACGTCTGAATAGTAACAGTGTCAGAAGAATAAAACAAAGAAGTGTATAAGAGAAAATCATCAATGAAATAATTGAAGAAAATTTCCCATAACTAAAGAATATAAAAATAAGCCAACACTGAAGTTTTTTTTATTGTGAAATTTTAGAACACTATTATATTAATATTAGTTTTCTATTGCTACATAATAAGTTACCATAAACTTAAGCAGCTGCAATCAGCATACACTTAGTATAGCGTAGTTTTCATGGATCTGAGGGTCTGCACATGGTTTAACTCGGGCATCTGCTCAGGGTCTCTTGGGGCTGCAATCCAGGCCGTATCTCACTCTGGAGCTTGGGGTCTTCTTCCAATCTATGTGATTGTTGACAGAACTCAGTTCTTTGTGGTTGTAGGACTGAGGTCCCTCTTCCTTGCTAACTGTCAGCCAGAGACTTATCTCAGCTCCCAGAAGTCCCCTTGGCACATTGTCCTTTCAAAGAACTTCTCACAAAATAGCAATTTACTTCTTCAAAGCCTGCAGGAGAATCACTCACATCAGTCTAAGATGGTGTCTTATATAAAGTTATTATGTGAATGATTCTCCCATCACCTTTGCCATAGAATGTAACCTAATCAAGGGAGTGACTGTTGAATCACCTTTACCTGTATTATGTTGGCTAAAAGGAAGTCCTACTTTCTGTCCTCAGATTATACAGAAGTGTAACTCACTGGGGGTCATCTTAGAATTCTGCCAACTATAAGTTTAGATAAAAAGAAGTTCTTACAAGCTTTCAGAGAGAAATAAATAGGTTCACATAAATGAGCAGAATGGTGCAGACTTTTAACAGCAATGTTGGAAACTAGAAGACAATGGAGTGGTGCTATCAAAATTTTGAAGGGATTTCTTGCCTATAATTCTATACCCAGCCAAACTATCTGTTGAGTGTGACAGTAGAATACAGACAACTTTGGAAATGGAAGGTCTCAAATATTTACCTCCTACAAACTCTTTCTCAGGAAACTTTTGGAGACTTTGCTCTACAAATCAAAGGAGTAACTAACAAAAAGGAAGACATCTGACCCAAGACACAGGAAATGAAAAGAATTTCCAGCACAATGGTGAATGGACATCCTTCAAAGAGCAAGCGGAACAGATTAGAGCAGGCCAGAAGGCTTGGGGATCAAAGGGAAGTTGATAGACAGCTGAGATGAGTGAATGTGATGAGAAAAGATATAGATAACTAGCAGAAAGTTTTTGGTTAAATTAGTGATAAGAACATAAACAATTAATCAAACAGAATACAAGAGTTATTGACTTGTCCTTTAATGAAACAAGTTAAGTGACAGCGAAACATTATTCGAGGAAAACAATCATAGTTTACTACATGGCTCTGTTCTGAATAACTATAGGTTTATTACAATGTATATACTGAACATAAATCTAACCAGAATGGTGAAATACTTATACCGTTTTGAAAGGATGTTGTTATGGGTTGAATTATGTTCCCCAGAAGATGCTGAAGTCCTCACCCCCAGTACTAGTGAATGTGACCTTATTTGAAAATAGATTCTTTGTAGGTGATCAAGTTAAGATGAGGCCATTGAGGTAAGCTCTATCTAATATGAAGGGTGTCCTTATAAAAAAGGGAAATCTGGATACAGAGACAGAGACATGTGAGAACATCATGAAGATTGGAGTTAATGCTGTCGCAAGCTGAGGAGAGGCAAAGACTGCTGCAAACCATCAGGAGCCAGGGGAGAGGCATAGAGGAGATTCTTCTGCCCAGCCCTCAGAAGGAACAATCCTTGCTGACACCTCAATTTCAGACTTCTAGTCCCTAGAACTCTGGGACAATAAATTTCTGTTGTTCAAGTCATCTGGTTTGTGGCACTTCATGATGTCAGCGCCATAAACCTAACACAGATGGGAAGCATGTGTGTGTTGGTGGGGACAGGGACTGGGAGAAGAAAGAGCTAGTGCTTCATTTTCTTCAGTGGGAAGTTAACAGTTCCTATAAAATAAGGAATCAAGAAATAGTCTAAGCACGGTATTTAGAGCAGGTAGATGCCTGCTATGGTTTGGATGTGGTTCGTCTGCTCCCAGCGAAGCTCATGTTGAAATTTGGGAGGCGGAGCACTGGTGGGAGGTGTTTGAGCAACAAGGGCAGATCTGTCATGGACGGCTTGTGCTGTTCTCCAGGTAGTGAGTTCTCACCCTCGCGAGACTGGGTTAGATCTGGTGGGAATTGACTAGTTTCCACAGAGTGACTTGTGACAAAGCCAGGACGCGTTTCGGGTTTTCCCTTCCTCGCACAGCACTGGTCTGCTCCCCGTCTGAGCCTATCTGCCAGGTTGTGACGCAGCACAAAAGCCCTCGCCAGAAGCCAGGGCCACGCCCTTGAACTTCTCAGCCTGCAGAATCCTGAGCTAAATAAACCGTTTTTCTTTATAAATAACCCTGGCCTCTGAAGCAGATGACTCTTTATATCATGCGCCTAGATTGATAGAAATAAAAACTTTAAAATTGTTTCTAATATATCAGCAATAATTAACTATAAAATATAAGAGAAAAGAATTCCATTCACAAAGGCAATGAAACCTACATAATGGTTATCAAAATAATCCAAGTAGGACACGTGCCAGGTTTCTATGGTGCTCGTGGAGTAAACGCTAACATTTTGCTGAAAGATGAAGATAAATAAAATCTGGTCCCTCTGCCTCAGGTAGTGCATGAGGTGGAGGAAAGGACAGAGGAGCAACGAGAGCACCGGGTGGTGCCTGGAGAGTCTGGTTAGGGGGGACAGAGTGTCCAGCCCCGCCCTGGGGAGTCAGGGAAGGCTCTGCACACGATGTGGATTTGAGAGAGAACTGGAAGGATAGAGGGTTCTGGAAGGTGGGGAGACATTGAGGTACCAGTGGATGTGTTTGTGGGGAATAGCAAGGGGTTGACAGAAGGGGAAGGGTAGGCATGGTGGGGGTGGTGGGAGGTGAAGCTGGACAGGGAGGCAGAAATCGGGTCATTAAGCAGCTGTGCATGCAGTGGGCGTGTTTTGCTCTATTTTATAGGAACAGGAGCCTCTGAATGTTTTCAAGTCGCAGAGTGAGACAGGGATGACGTTTCCCTCATGGAATAAACACGTGGGTGACTTCTCAACACAAGATGTCATTATGGACAGATAGTCTGTGTTATGGCTTGAATTCTTCAGGAATTCAAGGGTCTCTCTAGGGACCCTGTCTGAGCCAGCTGGGGCTACTGTAGCAGATTAGCATACGCTGGGGAGCTTAAACAAGAGAAACCACAGAACTTTGTTCATAGCAGACGGCCCTCGACGACTGCCCCAGACCTCAGTCAGCCTCTGATGCAGGGAGGGTCACGGTGTCACTCACCCACCTGAGGGGCTGTGCTTCGGGGAGCAGTTCTACCAGCGACACCTCCAAGGCACAGGCTCCGACCTGCCGAGGCAACTCCTCGACCACTTGAAGCTCCTGCCTCCCGCCGCTTGTCGTCAGGAGTGTGCTTAAAAGCTCCACAGTCGTATCACAAAGGCGAGGTATTATAAAATGAAAAACGGTGACGCTGCTTAACTGCAGTAATAACAGGGACTTTTGCATCAGTGTGGCACCATGCCTCTGTGGATGGCCTGGCTCTGGAGGGGAGAGCAGGTGGCCCTGGGTGCTTCTGTGGCTGAGTGTGGCTCAGCGCCTCTGGGGCGGTGCCAGGCTGAGAGAGGCTGAGCGGTGGGGAAAAGGTGGCACACAGTCCTGCCCCTTCCAGTTCCTCTCTGGCACCTCCTCACTGGCTGGCCTTCTGGCCCCATCGGCAGACCTCAGCCTGGCCCCTAACACGCTCCACCTGCTGTCTCCAGTTGTCCTAGCCTTCCCCATAGAGCTCCATGCGTCCCCACTCTGGTCAGCCTCGGGCCGTCAGCCTTCTCAGTCTGTTTTCTGGAATGTTCTTTTCCAGGTTCTTCCTGTGGCCAGCTTCTACTCATTCTCTCAGGAAATCTTACCCCGAAGCATTAACAGCAACAGCTCTGGAGCCGGTCATCTGGGTTCAGATCCACGTTCTGCCTCCTTGAGCAAGGCAAAGGCTCTGTGTGGCACAGCGGACGGAGGGTCGTGAGGATTGAACGAGCTGGTGCACGTAGTCTCAGAATGATGCTTCACCCACGGAAGTGTGTGTAAGAGTTAGCTATTATTATTAGTCAACAATAATACGTCACCTCCCGTTAGAATGAATAGTCCCCCACCCACCCCAGTCATTCTCTCCCCTCACCACTGTCCGAAACTGTATTATTGATTTGTTTGCTTGTTTACTGTTTCCCTCCCCACCACTGGAATGCAGGCACCGTGAAGACCGTGACTGTCTTGTATGCCCAGTGCCTAATGGAGTAGCAGGCACATAGTAGGTGCTCAAGAAAGAGGTGTTGAGTGAAGTAACACAGTGAGTCCTGGCCATACAGATGGATGTGGTGAGTGCAACTTCCAGGAAGTCTCCTTGAAAGGATTTTTCCTCCTTTTCTTTTTCCTGCTGTCTGTGCATACAGATCTGATGACTGGAGCTCCAGCAACCATGTTGGCTCCCAAGGCAAACAGAGGTTGTGCTTGCTAAAGCCACGGGGCAGAAAGTTCCTGACTTCCTGGGGGGTTGTGGGGCGGGGCTGCCAGATGTTTTCCCCAGACTGTTCCTGCAAGTGCACAGCAAGTGTTAACAGTGACTGACCAGGGAAAGAACCGAGCGGCACACAGAGGGTCGGAGAATCAGCCTTTATTCTGCCGGCAGGCTCAGAAAGGCATGACACCAAATTCTGAGCACCGTTTCCTTGTTCTCCTCCGGTTTTATACACTTCTTGGGGTTACCCACAACCAATCAACTATGAGCATGAGGAGTTATCCAATCAGCGGTGAGATTCAAAAAACATCCAATCAGCAACAAACTTTATATATCCAATCAGCAACAAGCTTTACATCCAATCAGCAACAAGCTTTACATATCCAATCAGCAGTGACTTCAGCCATGGGGCCCCCCGGGTGGGGGTTTCCTTGTCGAGACTACTCATTTCTTAATTTTTATTTGAGAGAGAAATAAACTTCTATCTTTTTAAGCCATTGTTAATGTTGGATTTTTCTAAACCTAATCTTCGTAAACACAGCATTATATTGGGTAAATGCTGAACTAAATTTTTATCTATTAAATAAAAACAGGGCTGTCTGCGAAAGAAGGCTGCACACAGGAAGTGTAGACCAGCATGGGCAAGAACAGTGTAGGAAGAATGGAAGACGCTCAGGAGACTCTTGGGTGCACAAGATAAGAAAAAAAATCCAGATCAGGCCTGAACAGGCAGTTCTCTTAACTAAATCCCGTTAGACATTTCCTCAGTTCCTTAGTGATAAGAAATTAAAAATTAACACCAGAACCTTGCTAGAGAGCACAGAATTCCTCTACTTAAGAACAAGTTATGTTTTTTTGTAAGCCTATTTGTTTGTAAGTCTAGAGGGACCAAGGATTATTTCCGATTAATCTGAGTGTGAGTTCTCTGAAACTTTAAAACCAGCAGGCACCTGGTTTATGCTGGCAAGTATTTTATGGACCCATCTTTATGGGTCCACAGTAGATCAGTCCAGTGTACTAGGGGAATCTGCGGAGCTGGGTAGCTCCCTCCTGCCCACCCATCCCATGGGGGGCCCCAGCCTGGCCCCGAGAACCATCTCTACACACTCCCCACCTCCGCTGCTGTTGGTTCTATCACTGGCCCTGTTTTGTTTCTTTCATGGCACGTATCAATATTTACCGCCCTATGTTTTGGTTTGTTTGTTGCCTCTTGCATCCATCCTCCATCCCGCCATAGATCATAAGATCTTCAAGGTCAGGGACCGTGTCCGTTTCAGTCACTAATGTGTTCCCAGTAGCCAGCGCAATGTTTGGCTGATGGCAGACCCGCGGCGAAATAGGTGCTGAACGAATGAAGATTTCAGCAACAACAGTTTCACCACGCTCTGCCCTTAGGTCTTTGAGCAAAGTCCCAGCTTCCCCCTGCATTAATATCCAGCCGATGGGCAGCCCATGAGGATGCAGATCTTGCAGTCCCGGCTCTAGTTTTTGTGTTTGTCCTTTTTCCTCCTTTCTTGCTGATTATCATGGACAGTGGATGTGTGGCAGGTTGCACGCTAAGTACTTTGTCCTTCTGAACCACAGCTCCTTTTGAAATAAATTACAGCACCTGGAGCAGCAGTCATTATTTTGCTCAGCACTTTCAATCTTTTATTATCCCTTCTTTCAATTCTGTAACAATAGCACACCTTTTATTTCGGCACTTTACAACTTCCATTGCTTTTTGGACTCACTTGGCACAATGGAATTAATAATGTTTGCAAAATACCTCCAGGCTAAGTAGAACCCCAGCAAGACTGCCACTTATGGGCATGCATCCCTTAACAATGGGGGTAGTTCTGAGAAGTGAGTCTTAGGTGATTTCTTCATTGTGCAAACCTCCTAGAGTGCACTTACACAGTGCACTAAACCTAGACGGTGGTGCCTGCTGCACACCTAGGCTGCCAGGTATAGCACAGCCCAGTGCACCTAGGTACAAACTTGCACATTATGTCACTGTACTGAAGACTGTAGGCAATTGTGACACAGTGGCAAGTATTCGTGTATTTAAACACATCTAAACATGGAAAAAGCACAAGAAAAGCACGACATTATAATCTGATGGGACCACCATTGTATATGTGGTCAGTTGATGCCTGAAACTTTGTTGTGCAATGCCTGTGTGAACAAAGGACTCTATGGTCCAGACTGAAAGGACCTCACACTGCAATTATCGCCATCTGTTGGTGGGAGGCTGAATTGATGTGATTTTGTTTTCTAGCTTTGTTTTATTTGTTGTCTGTGAAAATTTGTAACTTGGAAATTCGTAAGTAGAGTTTTTTTTTTTTAACTATAGTTTGTTAGGTTTAATTATACTTAGAAATTCAGAGCATTATTTCTTTTGATCTCTTTCCATAGTGTGTGTTCAAACAGCCTCATTTATTCCTTTGCATTGAATCTCCAAGGTCCAGGGACAAAGGATTCTGCCAAATCTTGCTGTAGTTTGATTTGTCCCACACTGTGCTCTGTGGAGTATTACTAGGTGTTTCCACCAAAAACAAAAACAAAAACAAAAAAACAAACCAAAACAAAACAAAAAAAACCCTGCAATAACATAAATTCGGGAGCTCTGCCATACATTATCATTTAAAAGTTTCTGTGTAACTAATGGGTATTATCACCTAAAAGTTTTTTTAAAACTAGTGTCTCTAAAACTTGCTTCACCATAGAACTCCCTGTAAAATGTAAATCCAGTGTTCCAATATTTTTAGGGGAATGCTGAGATATACATTTATCTGGTAGATCATAAGTGTTTCTTGGAGTCAAGATTCTGGTGCAAAAATGAGCCAAAACCATGATTACAGCGCTCTTGACAGAATATTGCCTTTGCAAAGCTCATTTCAGTCCTGGTGTGCAACACTTCAAACCAGCACAGTGACAGAAGACAACACCTGCTTGGCATTCTGGAAAGGGTCCTCATGCTGTCTTTTTTCAGGAATACTGAACACCTTTTCCCAGCAGGCAATGCAGTAATGCAGCGTCTCAACAATTGTTGCATTTGGTGGAAGAGAAACATGAGAAGATTCCAGCAGCTACAGGAATGCTTGAGACACTTGTTTTATTTTTTGAGTAGGCTCATCTTGGCTTGTGCACATCCTAAGCTGAGTAAGATGAATATTATTCACAGTGTGGGTGTGGCAGCCCAGGAGGACAATGATGGAAGCTCCAGTTTCACATTCTTCTTTATCTGGTGTTCATCTTATGCATCAAAACAACATAGAATATTTCAAAGCCCTTTTGAGAGTTCAAGCTGGCAAGACTCCCATGGTGGGAGCATCTCTTAAATACTAATCACTACTCCAGAATTGTATAGCGTGTGTGGGGGCAGGGGGAGAAGGGTGGTGGTGTGCGGGTGGCTAAGTTATAAAGCATTAAAAATTTTCCTGAGTGTTAGAAATTTAAAATTGAAGGACCTAAAACTTATAAAATCTCCATGGGAATAATGATACGATTGGGCATTGCATGCTCACCCTTGATGACTGGCTGTCAATAACCTTGAGCAAGGTCAGGTTTGAAACTGTTAGCCTCTAACTATCCTAAAAGAACGGCTCGAAGTCTACTGACTGTGCACACTGGCTGTGAGTGCTCTTTAATTTCGCTATTCCTAATGCTTTTAGAATGTTCCCTGTGAACGCAAGTTCTCTGAAAAGGAATTTGGAGGAAAGAGACTGTTCTAGTGAACAATATGCACACCTAGGAGACTCAGCCTTGGGTGTAAAACAAAGGTGCTTTTCAGAAAACAAAAGGAAGGCTCAGATTTTATAGCAGTAGTTCCCACCCAGGTTCCCAATCATGCCCATTTATGCAAATGAAGGACTGAAACTCTTAGGTCTTTTCTTTCTTTTTTAATTGACTCTTAGCATTGTTCAATGATTAACTTGCTTAGTTTTGATTGGTAGATGCAGCTGAATGCTGCTTGGTCAGTACAGCCCAGTCCTGATAGGTTGGTACAGTTGAGCCCCCTCATCCCTGGATTGTCCAAGGCAGGTAAGCTCTGAAAGTCCCCAAATTAAAAATGTCCGGTTTTGGGGGAACTCAGAGTATGTGTGTGAGCTCTAGTCAGCAAATGGCCTCTTGGCCCTATTTTAAGTTTAGGTCCAGTTAGCCACTAGGAATCCATCTTGAAGCACTGGTTCTTTCAAGTTCATATTTTTTTTACACCCCTGAATTCACAGAAATGACAGGTGTCAGTCCTGGCAGTATTGCTATAGCCAGCTGGCCACAGATGACCAGCCAATTGATTTGTTTGGCTTGATGCTCAATGTCTCCAACATTCCAAACTCAATTTTTTAAGTTAAATTCCATCTTTCCAGTGAACTGATACAGTGGATGAATCCAGAGGAATGACCCTTGCAAGCACTCAATTCCATGGATAATATTTTCCATGGAGAATATTTTTGGATATTTATTGATAACTTCCTGTCCTTTGGTTATTTCACTGGCATAAATATCTTAGACATGGATTCCCAGAGGTGTGATCCAGTTCCTGCTCAAGAGGCTTTTGTGCTGCTATTACAATCAGCATCAGCATTATTATCAACCCCTACATTTGGAAAGCTGTAGCCATCAGAACTGTTGGTGGCAACTGATAGCAACTCAATTCAGTGAGGCTTTATTGGCTCATGAGGCTTGAGAGTCCAGAGGTAGAGCTATTAATAGATTCAGCTACTCCATCTAA